TAAAACAAAACAAAAACAAATACAAAAATTGACTATACGGTACATTTATTTTATAAAAGTAATATATAACATGTATTTATTAATGTGTGCATATATAATAAAAATAATAAAATACTAAAATTTGAGTAAAGGTAAAATACCCAATCCTATAATCATTTCAAACTTGTACCAATCATACTTGTAATTATATTAAAACAAATCTAATTTACAAAAAAATACCCCGCGGCAGAGCGCGGGTTCTTTATCTAGTAACTATAAAAGAAATTTTTATCTCGGATATTAATAAGTTCAAGCATTGTTGTGGATATTGATATTCTTGTTATGGTAAGATGATTGTTGTGATTGTGACAATGAAAAACTTTTTATAGTATGTTTTATATATTAAAAATGCAAAATTAATGGGTAGTTACCTAGAAAGAGTAAAATTAATTTTCTTAACTTGTAGCTACGACATTGTTTTTAATAATGCGTTATTCAGGTCTTGGTTAAGCAAAACAAATTATCGTGGCGACTGATAGACACAGGCTTAAAGCTAGTGACAAAAACAAGAAAGCGTGGGGAGTGGAAAGCCGAGCCTCACAGAATTACATAGACCCAAGAGTACGTCTAAATATAGACTTCTTTGAACAATTACATTCAGAGTTTCACACCGTTTTTTTTTTTTTTGGTCAACACTTTCACAAACCTCTATATAAACGTCTAAATTCTAGTGTATTTTATGAGTCCAGATTTTTTTTCCAGAAATATCGTGTATTTTGGAATGAGCTTTTGAGGTAACATACACTACCTGAAATACATATCTGTATTTATGGATAATGACAATATCTTATATAAAGTTTCTGGTATTCAACAAATATTTTTTAAATAGACTGGTTTTGTTTACTTTAATGTTATTTTTGTTTGATAAAAAACTTTACTTTAATGTTGTGATAATCTTATTTTAGATTTAATTGGTAATTTCTTATCACAACTATGAAAAGTGCATCATCAATTAAATTATTAGACAACATATCAATGATCTTTAGTAATTTAAGATTGAATCAATTATTGGCTATAGTTTTAGTTATTATATCATTTTTTTTATAAATAGTAAAACTTTTATTCCCTCCGTTTCGTTTTAGTTGTCGTTTAAAGTTTTCTCACACAAATTAAGAAAAACATTAAATTTTCTGTTTTACCCTTTATTAATATATTTTATAAAAAAATTCATTGGCCGAAACATTAAAACAGTAGGAATAAAACTGGAATTTTCACCAAACATTTGCATCGAAAACCTAAAACGACAACTATTATGAAACAAAATTTTAACTCTAAAACGACAAGTAAAACGAAACGGAGGGAGTAATAATTAGTGTTTAAATGAAAAGCTGTAATACAAAATCTAATTAATACTTCTAATATTACCCAAAACAAACGAATTTATGATATTTTTCTGTCATGTTGTATAAGATTATATAGTATTACAATGGTACCTTTTTTTTTGGACAAAGATATTACAATGGTATATATTATATAAGTTACGTTAGTTGCAAGAGAATAGAGAAAGTAAAATTTGAACTCTGGCCCGTGTGAGACAGTGGGACAACCAGCCAGTACCGGGTCCTCCACGCCACACCACGCCGGTCCACTGCCTCAAACATCCCACGGTCCATGCTATTTTTGTAATAAATGAGAATAATAAACATTATGCTTTTGTACATCTGACATCAAATTTATAATTTTACTGTCTTATTATATTTTGTTGATTCCACAGCTTTTATTACTCTTTTCTAATCTATGGCTACTCTTATCTTGTAAATAATACGAAAAATATACTTACATTGACTAGAAAACTTACATTTAAACGATATAGGTTGATATTTGATCTGATATAAACTTAGCAAAGAAATGTTTTTTGGTATTTTAATATAAAGGCATTTTTATATTTTCTTAGGAGCTATACAAATGTGAAATGTGTTCTTGATGAAACTTGATTTTTCAAAGCATTGGATTACCATTTTAATGTTGTCTGATCGAAAACTCAATAAGGGGTACACAAATCCCACATATGGAGAATTGCAAATCCATAAGGGGTAATTCCTAATGCATTTTTTGAGAGAGCGGATAAAACAAACATCGACGGCATAAAGTAACAATTTGATACCAAAATATAAAGAACTTTTCGAAATCCATTTGCACGATCTACAACTATTTCGTATATGTTGTGGGAGACACATTTTGGTAAGATTGATTTTGTTTCTCTCGCTATTGAACATGACCTCATCATACCAATAAAGTTCATGAGAAAACTTCAGAAACCAAAAACATTAATCTAATTTTAATGAGTTATTAATTGTTTGTTTTGCCATAAAAAAATTCAGTGGAGAGAACTATTAAAAATTTGAATGAGTTACTAATTTAACATTAACATATTTATTTGTTTTCGTCTATCACTAGAAAATAGTGGCATGTTATTCCAAAAACAAAAGTGGGCTTTTTCGTGATGTACGGTTTGTATTAACTATTTAATCTAGTGATTTATTTTTCCTCAATGATAAGTCATTTTCGCCAAACAAAATACGAGAAAAATGATTATAGTGTTCCTTTTTAAACTTGGAAAATCTGTCTCCCCGTTTAACCTACGGACCTACTCCCTCCGTATTTGAATAAATGTCGTTCTAGTTTTTTTTCTGTGTTTTTAATTAGTTGTCATTTTAACAACTTTTGCATAAAATTTCCTAAATTACCCCCAATTAATTGATCATAAATAATCAGTCTAAATTACCAAAACTACAGATACCAAAAATATAATTGTAAATAATCGTTTCTCATAAGGTTAGTTTTGTAATTCTATGCCCTTTCTTAATTCACCCAAAAACAATTAAAACGACATTTTTTCAAATACAGAGGGAGTACCAATTTTCTCACGGAGCTTATTTCATATAAATATATTTGTTAATTTTTGGTTAACTAGAAAATTTGATATTATATTATAATAGAATTTTTGCAAATGTTATAATAGTTATAATATCATAGGTTTGGATTTCTAAACCAGTTTAGTTTAATTATATATGTTGACAAGAAAAATACTATTATAATATCTTTAATGTTTAGAGTTTATATGTGTCTATAGTCAAGTGGTTAAGTCCACTTGACTTCGCTTTCTCCACCGGAGTTCGACTCCACTAAGTCGCGTTACTCCGCGTAGTAGGGATTGACTATAGATCGGGCTTTGTCGATCCAAAAACGTCAAAAAAAAAATGTTAAGTGTTTAGATTTGATGATTGAGTTTATGATTTTGAGGTTTGGGTTTACATTTAACGATTTGGATTTAAAATATAGGATTTCGATCTCATGATTTAAGATTTAAGTATAAAAAGAATCAAAATTTACAAAGTCTTATTGTAATTTAGCTATCAATTAATCAATATAATAGATGTTTTAAAAAAGAGAGAGTCAAAATTAGCTATTAACAACGTTGTTGACAAAAATAAATAAATAAATTGCTTCTAAATTATGAAATTTCCGAATCACATCATACATTTAATATTCATTTCTTTAAGATTTATAGAAAAAATGAACATTGTCTACACGTCAAAATAATTAGATAAGACTTTATATGCTGTAATCAATTTTCAATTTTCACAAAGTGACAACTTTTTTTTTTTTTTTTTTTTTTTTTTTTTTTTTTTTGAGCAGACACAAAGTGACAACCTAACATCTCAATCTAACATGAACACGTCATTACAACGAATCGATGTAAATTTGTAACAACCGGAAAATCTATGTAGTGTTTAAACAATATTATTAATGTATATAAACTATAAAAAAAATAAGAGACTACAACAAAAAAAAATGTCTAATAAAGTGATCATAACCTGATTTGCATTACTAAGAAAAGTTTAAACAATGGCTAGAGATGGAGAACCAAAAGAAAAAACAATGGCTAATGTCTAGACGAGTGAGGCTCGCGATACATTCACCGGTGATCTAATGTCTTGCGGTGGATGCTAAAAAGAGGATTTGTTGCGGTTGGAGTTTTGACTGGCTCTCTTCCTTTCTTCTTTTTTTTTTTTTAAAACATATTGTTTCGTTAATTTTTTATTTATTTATTTATGTTGAATTGTGGATAAATATGAAGAGAGATAATTTAATTTTATTCAATTTTTTAACAATAAGAACTATTATATTACCATATATTCTCAAATGAGCTTGATAATCAAGCTATATAGTAAATTAATGTTGTGGACCTTTCTCTACTTTAAATAAACAAAACAAATCCTCTTTGTAAGAGTATCTAATTAAGGATAAAATCAAAGATAAAAAAAAAAAATTCCACACCATAATTCCATTTATAACCTCTTAAACAACACAAAATTACAATAAAAAGCCATCGTCTTAAATTTCCCAACTTCGTTCCCAACCTCTTTCTGATTCACCATCACACAACTATATAATATAACACACATACAATGTATATATGTATAAGTTCTTCACATAAAGCCTTTTATAAAATTGCAATTCAAGCTTAGAGCATGATTATTGGTAGTATCTTAGAAATAAATCTTAAGAATATTTAAGTAATATATTTGTAAAAGTGATAGGTAAAAGATAGTGTTTTTGGGTTAAGATTTTTGTGTGATTAATGGTAGGTTCTTAACATGTGGTTCTTACAAAAATAAAATATTAATATAAAAATAAAATTTATAATTATAGAAAATTTAATAATTGTTGCAAATTAAAAAAATTAAAACATACATGAGATACAATTTATAACATAAATAACATAAAGCACAAAAAAAAAAATTCTTCTTTTGTTTGATTTTTAACCAATCATAATGTGACACCTTGCAACATCTTAAGTTAAGAAAAACATCTTAACTTAGATACAAATCTTAGCTTTAAGATGTTGGTTTGATTATTTTTAATCAACTTTAATCCTAAGATTTATCTAAGATACTCAACATTTCAACCAATATTCATGCTCTTACGCAGTCTCACATTTAAGCAATCTCTCTCTCTCTCTCTCTCTCTCTCTCTCTCTCTCTCTCTCTGATTCTCTTCTCTGAGAAAAATCTCAGTTCCTCAGAGCTCTCAGGTTCTTTTATTCTTCTTCTTCGATTTTATCTCCCAAATCTGCATGCTCTCGATCTAAGACTACCACATTTTTTTTTTTCCGATTCAAAAAAACATGAATGTTGCTTCGTAGTTTTATGATCTGAGAGAGATCAAATCCGTCACCGGAGAAAAAAATGCGGGTGAAGGAGTTGCATCCACTTTGTTGTATTACTTTAGAGAGTCCACACGGGATTAATAATAACCAGTCACCGGAAGAACCGGTGACGACGGCTTTAACTAGGTCAAGGAGTTTACCGGCGAAGTCGTTGATCGGTGGATCCAAAGTGGGATCGGAATCGGAGACTGTAGCTGGGATCTTATATAAATGGACTAATTTTGGTAAAGGATGGAGATCTAGATGGTTCTTACTCCGTAACGGAATCTTATCTTATTCTAAGATCCGTCGACCGGAGAATTTGAATCTACTATCTCCGTCGGATGATGTGAGGTTAATCGGAGATATTTCCGGTGAACGTCTTTCGAGAATGGATAGTTGTAGTGGTCGCCGGAAACAACAAAAAACCGTCGGCATTGTTCATCTTAAGGTATTTTACAATGACAGGAAAAAAAAATTTGATTTTTGAATTTTTTTTTGTTAGGGTGAAAAAAAAAAAAAAAATTCACCTGAGATTATCAGTTTTTATGATTTATTGATTTCTGGTCTTGTTGATTCATCATTAAATTTTTACTATCAAGGATTGGATTTTTTTTTCTGGGGAAATGAAACGCCTTTTATCACTCATAGTTAGAGGAAATAACCAGTGGTTTATAGAATTGTTTGTTGTGTTCTTGATGAAAAAGATAAACCCTAATTGGCTAAATGTGAAATTTACTCTCTTGTTTCTATGATGACCTTTCATCATTCAGATTCATTACTACTTTCTTCTTGACCACTTTATTCATTTTTTGTGGATTTGATTTTGGTCTTTGTGTATTATTAATATTAATCTTTGCTGGTATTTTCCAGCTTTTAACTTACCGTGAATCTCTAGTGGGTCACATCAACAGGTGCTTGTTTGTTTTTCAAATTTTAAAATCTTTTGTGTGTTGGTTGCAACAATCTGTTTTTGTTAGTAGGTTTAGGGTTTTGTTCAGTGGTCACATTGTTGTTTTTTTTTTCAAGTTGGTTTCTTAGTGTAAGGTCCTTTTTAAATATATTTTTCTTTTGGTTTCAAGATTTAACCCATTTGCCAATTGTCAAAAAAATTTGGATTCCCTTAGATTTTTTTTTTGGGGGAGAAAAAGCCAAAGAAGTCTATAGATATGTCAATTTTTGGTTACTAGAAGTAAGAACTTTTTCAGTTGCATAACTAAAACAAGTCTTTTGAATTTTGGACACTTTTGACAATTTGTTCTTTGGTGATTCTTGCCTTTGCATGTGCTTGCTTTGATTTGTCTTGTTGGCAACGTAAGTAAATTGGATATACGCTTTTAGCTTTTCATTTTCATCTTTTACTTTTGAATTCTCCTTAAGGCTAGCTAAGTATATACTATACCTATAAATGTTTTCACACAAATGGGCTTATGTGTATAGTATTATTCTATGGATTCAATTATATACATAGTTTTGTTTTGGATTTTGGACAAGTTTGGTGAGTAGAATTAGTTTTGTTGGAAATAATGGAGGTGTGGGGTCTTAACAATTATAAAAATGACATGTGTTGACATGCTTGACAATGAGAAAATGATGTTTTTACAGGCATAATTCTTTGTTGAACTTTCAAAATTACAATTGCCTAATCCAAAATACACCAAAGCTGATCCTGACATAAGCTTTAGATTTTTTTGTTTTGCTTACAGATAATAAACTTTTGTCTTTCTCAACCTATAGATCTAACGTGCCTTATCCAGTCTTAAAGTTAAATCATTCATGGGCCCAGCTTGATTTGTTCCTAGTTCCAATCTGCATCTCCAAACTTTTTTTCCAAGTTCAGGTTATTCTTTTGAGTTTTTAGGGTCCATTTTTGCTTTTTATAGAATGGAATTTTAGATCTTTGATCTAGAAACTGACTTCTGGTGAGTTTTCTTTTTCTAGTTTGATGAATTTGTGGTCACAACTTTATTTTGCTTTTGTGGTTGGAATAGAACTTGCTGGGGTTTTTTTTTTTTTCTTTCTTATTGAGCTCGTAACTAGATGTGTATCCGTCTATGTTTTTTTTCCAGCAGGTTTCGTCTTTCAGAGAAAGCAAGTCTGATGATAGAAAGTTCTATATATTCACAGCAACCAAGACCCTTCATTTGAGGACTGATTCTATAAGTGATAGAGCGGCTTGGTTACAAGCATTAGCATCTACAAAATGCATCTTTCCTCTCCGGTCGCTTAATGGGGATTTCTCCTTTATACCACCAAAGGATTTGTCCATATCAACTGAGAGGCTAAAGAAACGGTTGCACGAAGAGGGAATGAATGAGACTCTTGTAAAAGAGTGCGAACAGATCATGCTCTCAGAATTTTCTGAAATGCACGGACAAGTTAAACTTTTACACGAAGAACGGTCGAATTTGCTTGACGCATTGAGGCAGCTGGAGGTAAATTTAGTTTAAATCCTTCATGCTTTTTCTTTTTGGTTTGTTTGATTTTTTGATGCTGGCTCTTTCTTTCTTGTTAATCCCCTGTGCTTGGTCTCGGTTGAGGTTTGGTCTCCGTTGTGGTTGAGCTATGGAACTGGTCTTGACTTTGCTGTTGACTGGAAGAGTGTTAAGCTATTTATATGCTTACTCTAGAGGATTCTTCTGTTGCCTTCTAAATCTATATTAAAAGTTTTACAACTGCATAGTACAATGAACTCCTAAAACAAAAGTAAATACAATTTTTCATCTCTTTTTTTGAACTCATGAGAGAGGTGGGCGGGTATATTGGTATCAGTATTGTTCAAGAATTTAATAGGAGTCCCTATTGTCCCTTGAAGTTCAGTCGTTAAAAACTCAAAGCTGGTCATAGTCATATCACCTTCTATAACTATAGGTACACATAGAAGGGATTGCAAAAGTTGTGGACAAGTATGAGTTGGTGTCGAGTGTCTGTTTCACATTTCTTATGTCCATCTTTCACGTGGAGGTGTTGACAAAATTATGAATTTGATCCATCTTAATAAAAGCCTAAAACGTGTTCATGTGTCATCTGTCCATGTCTTGAATGTGAAAGTGTGGACCATGGTGTGATTTGCAATTGGAGTGACATCTCTCATGTCACTTGTCAGCATTTTATCCATGTTGGCTACTGAATGATGAGAGTTTTCTTTTGTTCAGGCAGCTAATCTCGAAGTTAGTGCATCAGGGAAACATGAGTTTTCAAGCCTAGGACGTGGAAAGTATAGTGGTAAATACTCTTAACGCTTAATCTCTCTTCCTTCTCTGCTCCAATTTTGCTTTCCTTTGAGTTCTAATTATGCAAGTATAGTGGCTTCCTTTGTATCATTGTATGTTTGCTTGACTTGACTTGACATTATTTGGTGTTTAGAATGCAGCACAACTGCTTCATCTGATGATAAACAAGAGTTTGAGGATGTGTCTGAGGAAGATGAACCTTCCTTCCATGACACAAAGGAGTTCTTTAATGAACCTAATGTTGGTTCTGAATCAAATCTAGCTATTTCTGGACACGCGGATATAAAGAGAAGAACGAAACTTCCAGATCCAGCTGAAAAAGAGAAAGGTGTCAGTCTTTGGTCTATGATCAAAGACAACGTTGGAAAGGATCTCACCAGAGTTTGCCTCCCTGTGTATTTCAATGAACCAATATCATCCCTCCAAAAGTGCTTTGAAGACTTGGAGTACTCATATCTTCTGGACCGAGCATATGAACATGGAAAATCCGTAAGTGACACCAAAGTCTCTTACTTATCTTATACTATCCTGCAAGTCGATGATATTCTTTGTTGCTGCTATACAACAATCTCTTAATCTTGAATTGACTTAGAGCCTGTTGGAGTATTAGGGGAATGGTCTCTTAAGAGCCTTAAATGTTGCTGCTTTTGCTGTCTCTGGATACGCTTCCACTGAAGGCAGGCACTGTAAGCCCTTCAATCCTTTGCTTGGAGAAACCTATGAAGCCGACTTTCCTGAAAAGGGGATTCGTTTCTTCTCTGAGAAGGTAGTTCTTTAAGATAAATCTTAACTCAAAGTTAGAATGTGATGGACATAAATGTCAGAATCTTTTCCAAGACTATGGAATTTTATTCTTTTGGTATTACGCTTTTATAATAGGTCAGTCACCATCCAACTGTTATCCGCCCTGCCCCTGTGAAGGTAAAGGGTGGAAGTTCTGGGGTGACACTAACCTCAGGTCAAAGTTTTGGGGGAGGTCGATTCAAGTCGAACCTGTCGGAGTTTTGACTCTAGAGTTTGATGATGGCGAAGTGTTTCAGTGGAGCAAGGTATATTATAAAGTTATGAACTACTTTTGAGTCACTTTTGCAGATTTTGCTTTTGCCCCTGAAGTAACTTTAAGCTTGTCTTTATTCTTAGGTAACATCAACTATATACAATATCATACTAGGTAAACTCTATTGTGATCATCATGGTGTGATGCAAATCCGTGGGAACCGCCAATATTCTTGTACGCTCAAGTTTAAGGAGCAATCCATTCTTGAGAGAAATCCCCACCAGGTGAGTGACATAGAAATGCTCTGTATATGTAAACAATGAATTTTATACTTTTGAATGTATGTGGTAGCTGAATACTTGAAATAAAACATGATCAAATTCAAATATACATATAGGTAAACGGTTTTGTAGAAGACGTAGCTGGGCAAAAAGCGGCAACAATATTTGGTAAATGGGATGATAGTCTTTACTATGTTGCCGGTGATGGAATCAGCAAGTCGAAAGTCAGTGATCCCGCATCAAATGCCTCGTTACTGTGGAAAAGGACCAAGCCACCGCCTAATGTCACTAGATACAACTTAACCTCGTTTGCCATTACCCTAAACGAGCTAACACCTGGTTTGCAGGTACGGTCAGATGGATTTATTATGTATATGGGTTCTGTTTCTTTTAGACACATGTCTGATCTTGTGTTTATTTTGTTCATGGATTTAGGAGATACTTCCTCCTACAGATTCTAGGCTCAGACCAGATCAACGGCATCTTGAGAATGGTGAATATGAGAAGGCGAACTTAGAGAAACAACGGTTAGAAAGAAGGCAAAGAATGGTACGTCACCTAAACATTTCACTGGTCCATGAACTTGCAAATGTCATTTGTAAGCCCTGAATGAATTAACTTTCAGAGAACATGAGGACTAATGCATAGAATGAGCTTCTGCCTTGAGTTTTGCATAATTTGATCTCTGGCATGTTCGTTTATCCATTTTGTGATTCTATAATCTTTAGGCTGATCTTCTACCTTGAACTACTGTTGTTAGTCTGTTACATTTTTGAAAATTTTGATGGTTATGTTCTAAGAACTACAATTGCTCGGTTTCTGTGCAGTCACGGCAACTTCAGGAAAGCGGATGGAGACCGAGATGGTTTGAGAGACAAGGTGAAAGCGAAACCTTCAAGTACACGGGTGGTTACTGGGAAGCACGAGGGCACAGAAACTGGGATGATTGCCCCGACATCTTCGGGGAGTTCACAGAAGAGCTAGCGGATTCCGCTTAGAAAGCTTCTTAATATCATTCCAGGTTATACAACTCATCCTACCAGCCAGCAAAACATTTAAACTGTCCCTTAAATGTTACAATAGAAAACCCAAACCACCAAAACTATAGTGGTTTCGAAACAAAAACATCGATTTTGATATTAAGTATTTCGTTTCTTGCATCCAATCCTTAAAAGAAGATCTCCATCCGGACCACAATGGAGTTGTTTACACGGAAGCACACGTCTTTGGACCATGGATCAAAAGCTATAAAAGGTGTCCTCCTTGTGTCTTAGAGAGTCACTGTAAAGTCTTATCTCCTTCTCTCTCCCTCTTCTCTTCAATTCTCTATCTCCCTCGTTAAATAGTTGAGATTAATGTAGGTTGGTCTTACATTTGAACAATTTCCTTGTAATCCATTTGTATTTAATTAAAAAAAAAGTGAGCAATCTCTTACTAATAAAAAAGATAGTTTGAGGCCTCTCAACATAGCCACATCAGCTTTGTTAAAACACATTCTCAACATGCCACATCAGCTTCTAAAAAAAATTTTTCTTTTTCGTGTCACATCAGCTTCCTAAACTTACTACAATGAGAATTGAGAAACCGTTTATAATTCCCCCCACTCCTTCGTAAGTTAATAACCACATCAGTTACGCCTTCAAAATTAGGCCATACTCTATTCCTTCCTCCGTAGATCATAGTCTAAAACGTCACATCCTTTCCACTTCTCTCTATCTCTTTCTATCTCATGATCAAACCTACCGCCGCCGTTGCACATCGGCCACGAGTGCCAAATCTCATAACACATCGCCTTCCAACTCTTACTCGACTCTCAGGTTACATTCCAACTATGTTAAAAAGGTATAACAATCAACTTTACAGTTCGGTAAGAATTCTTAATTATGGGCCACTTTGTTCATCCTATATATGTGATGGTTTTCTCTCAGTATCCATCCACTTACTACTGTATAATGAAATTAGCCATTAATGTAGATTATCATCAAAAAAATTTTACATCTCCCTCGAAAAAACCCCTCCTAATCTCCTATTGGTTTGAAAATATGATTCCCCTTTGTCTTCCCCAAAATTATAATGCACTATTTTAGCTGGGAGATCAATCGACAATATAACGTGAGAAGGGTTTGATGATTAGGGGCAATGGATCTTATGGTGATATGCTGCTAGATGCAACAAGGTCTGGCAGCAATGTAGAGGTTTCACGAATGAGCATAAACGGGGATTTGGACACCACACGAATGATCAGTTGTATATAAGGTAGTCAAAAAATTTCTTAGTGAGACTATCTACTGTAGTTTTTATTCACATCTTCAGTCCAACCTACTAGATAATGTTCTTTACAAGGATGGTGAGATGGATCTTATGTTGGAGAGAACATTGGAAGAGTTGCTCTTCCATCGAAAATATTATGAAGGAAATATCATATGTGTTTTTTTTGTTTGTTTGGTTCAACTAACTAAAGTGTGTAGAGTTCTCCAATTTAGTCATATAGTATTGTACACAAAAAAATCAACGTACATAGAACTATTTATCAATAATTTTCATATTTGGATAACATAAAAAGCTGAAAAAAAGAAACTCATGTCTTTGTTATATCTCTCTGTATCGTTCATCTTATAATAATACCATTATTCATCAGCCTTTTAGATTCATATAACTCTTTCAATGTTGCTTTTTGAATGTTTGATTTTGTTTTTGGGTTGTCATTGTTCACCCAGTTAGAGCCCTGTCGTGGAGCACATATGTTGTATTTTGGTAACAGAAACAAGAGTATAATACAGAGAAGTATACCGGCTCATGAAGATCATATGGCGAATTATGCTAGCTTATATGGGTCAGAGTCATTATTCTTGTGTACGTTTATGGGTTTCGTATTCATGCTATAATCTTTTGGTACATATTTTTCAAGTTCACGGCAATGTTCAATGCTAGAATATAGAACACTATATTGATAAAGAAAAATAAAGAAAATAGATACAACTAGGTAAAAACACAAGAAATGTATAGATGAAAAAAAATACTATATAGACTAATGATAAATAAAAACAAAAAATGAATATCCGGGCGTAGTCCGGTCTAATACCCCTAGTAATAAATAAATCCAGGCAAAGACTCTTGCACATTACTCCTCTTGAAATAAAATTTAGCATCTTTGATTAACAACCTCCAAAAAAATTCAGACTCATACATACTAAACCAAAAATAGATTTAAACCGAAACCAAATCCAAAACCAATTAGCTAACCAACAAACCCGTCAAATTCAACGAGGAAATAGCAAAATCGGATTTCGCAACCTCAATTATTAAAGATCACCAAAATTCGAAACAAAATTTAAATCGAAGAAGCAAATCACAAATATAAAAAAATGTCAGGAGTTTACGACAATCAAGCTGATATCTACTTAGACGCACGTCCTACTTATCCCGCCGATTGGTACTCCAAGCTCGCCGCTCGCTCCCACCGTCACAATCTCGCTTGGGATGCCGGAACCGGAAACGGCCAAGCCGCCATCGGCGTATGTATCTCCTCCTTCTTTCTTCTTTTAACATTCTCCGATCTGAAATTTCAAAATGCGAATCTCTGAATTTATCCGATTCGTGCTTAGATCGCGGAACACTACGAAAGAGTCGTCGCGACGGACGTAAGCGAGACGATGTTAAAACTCGGAAAACCGCATCCGAAAGTAACGTACCACCACACGCCGCCGTCGATGACGGAAGACGAGATGGTGAATCTGATCGGAGGAGGAGAGAACTCCGTTGATCTGATAACTGTAGCTACCGCCGTACACTGGTTCGATCTCCCGAGATTCTACGCGATTGCGAATCGTCTTCTCCGTAAACCAGGAGGAATTATCGCCGTGTGGAGCTACAACACTGACATGGTGGTGAGTCCCGAGTTCGACTCGGTGATGACTCGGTTTAACGCTGAAACGATGCCGTATTGTAAATTCCCAGAAAGTCAGTACTTTTTGGACGGATATAAAACGTTGCCGTTTCCGTTTGAGAGTGTGGGTTTGGGCTCTGAGGGAAAGCCCATTGAGTTGGAGATGATGAAACAGTGTCGTTTGAAGGATTCTTGCGGATGTTGAGATCATGGTCTGCCGTTGGTGCTGCTAAGGAGAAAGGAGTCGACTTGTTGTCCGATAATGTAGTGAAAGAGCTTGAGACGGCTTGGGGTGGTTATGAGCTGGTTCGAACCATTGTTTACAAGACGTTTATGCTCGCGGGAACCGTTCGTTAGAAACTAGCTTCTTCTTAAATTGGTAACCAACTAGTTGAAACTTGATATCTTAATGGTATTTGAAACCTCATGAAATAACAAAAATATAAACATAAAAAAACGATAAAAAAAATTTTACCTTATCATCTGAACCAAAGAGATACATACAACATATGGAAATCGAACTTGAAGAACATCAAAACGAAACATGTGAAAACACTACGAATGTTTTCACTTTATTTCAACAACATAGATGGTATTGAGACGCATATGATTACTAGAGAAACATACTTTGCACCATTATTATCCGATATTACGGAATTGGTCTGCTTATTTAGTCGTATGAGAGGATTAAGCGCATCGGAAACCAGCTGGGGGAAGTATACGGCAGAGTCTAAGAACCTGGTTAACTCGCAGATTGATTGTCAAGAAATTGAAGATTGTGATTCTAACGGCATTGCAGATGCAGGCAGATGCCGCAGCCGCGTCAAGCCCAGCCACTAGAGTGCAGCATGGCAACACTGTTTGTTTGTTGATGAGGATTAAGCTGAGGCGAAATACGTTGCTACAAGATATGAAATTGATCGAGTCTCTAGGACACACCGGAGCTTGAGGTGGAGGAACTTGGGCCTTTGTGAAGCCAAGGAAGACGAGGTTGATGATGAGGAAGAGAGCTATAGTGTTTTTCATCATGCTCCTTGAAGCAATGTTTTGAAAATGCTAATTATGCTCTCTTGTTTTGGAGAGGAGAGTTGAGTAATTTACTTTGGGAGGGTTTGTATTTATAGTCTTTTAGAAGATTTGCTTAGATGTGATTTAAGAATTGATCTAATGTCTACTTTAAAAAAGTCAACCAAAATGTGTTGATAATAGGGTTTATCACTAACCGAGTCTCTTGGTTAAGTATGGTTTATACCACTTAGTTCAATTGTTTCCATTAGAATTGGATTTCTTCTAAAGGGCTTAGATATCGGACTTTACTGAGCCGTAATGATCAAGTCAAGGAGTCTTTGGAGGAGTTCCAATTTTATGCAGTTAAGGATACAACCCCACAACCAATGGGATCACACGTAAAATTTCGAAAAGTGTCATTAACGATGGACGGTTTCACTCTTATCTCATACTTACAGAGCCGGCGTGACTTCATAATCAAGTGTTTTAGGAAACTCTTTGATGATTTATTTAATTTCTTCCTGTTTTTATTTCTTATCTCTGTTTCGGAATTAATTTAAATTTCGCATTTTAACCATAAGAAAGGAAAAATATATCAACTCACAAAATATCTAAACATCATCTACTCATCTAGAGAAGAGGTTTGGCAAGGAACACTTTGTTAATGCCCAAAACAATACAAAACTCTACCAAAGTTGGTATTCTTGCTGAACGCTTACTATTAATTAATTTAAAAAATGTCTTACAATAGAGATTTGGCGGCGAAGGTAATTTGAAAATTAATTTGCCAAGTCTACGAATAAAATTATAAAAGGTTTGGCGATGAAATTATTGTAAAATGTCTACCCAAATAAAGTCAAATTCCACAATCCATAACGTACTTAATCGGTCATAACATTTGCGATAGAATCGACTGTCATAGATGATCCTATTGTCAATTATTGTTAGTGATTTACTCATATGAGTCCTATCCAACGTTCTATTGAACTATAACCATTTAGTCGATAATTTAGTAGATTTCTATAATATATGGATGAACATTATTTCAGTATTATTATTTTAATTCTGATTAGTTGATAGTTATTATAGATGCTAATTGATAATTGTTATATTATGATTCCATTGAACCATATACAACAAACATTGGCCAACCTCAATTTTTTTTTTCTTTACACTGTACCATCTCTTAGAAAATTATAATCAACTGGCTGTATTTTGGATGGACTTTTTTTATTCATTCCCAATTCATCGTATCATATATGAAGCTTCACGATCTCATCAGTTTTCTCACATCATATATACTTATTTTCATCCCTTTTTTCATTCAAGTACTCATTCACTATATTCCCCGCTCATAAATTGAAATATCTTTTTTGATGAGCATAAGAGGAAGGTAATATTGGGCCGGTTTCAGTTCAGACAGAAACTTTTTACGTTTGTATATGGACCAACCCTAAACCGTTTAACACCAAGTAAATATGATCAACTCAATCCTAAACAAATCCAAATTAGCTAACCCCCTCTAAACTTTGAACAGAGATGATTTAGGGTCAAATGTTTTTGGTAAAAGAGTGAAATACAGTCGGTCCATTCAGTTTCAAGCTAACCTAGCTTGTCTAGTTAAAACTTGATATCCCAATGGTATTTGAAGATTCATGAAATAACAAAAAATAGAAAACAACTTTCAAAAGGTAAAGTGTATATTACTTTTCACCTGAACCAAGAGATTATACAACATATGGAAATCAAACTTGAAGAACATAACTAAGAACATGTATAAACAGTACAACTGTTTTCACTTTATTTCAACAACATAGATCTTTCTAAGACACGTATAACTATTAGAGAAACATACTTTGCACCATTATTATTCGATAATACGAAATTGGTCTGCTTATTTAGTCTTATGAGAGGATTAAGCGCATGTGAAACCTGCTGGGGGAGTGATACGACAGATTCCAAGAACCTGATTAAGTCTCAGAGTGATCGTCAATATATTGAGGAGTGAGATTCTAACGGCATTGCATATGCATACAGAGGCCACAGAGGCGTCAAGCCCAGCCACGAGAGTGCAGCATCGGCTCACTGTTTGAGCATTGAGGATCACGCTGGTCCGAAGCACGTTGACACAAGCTTGGATGTCTCTGGGACACACTGGAGCTGGAGGTGGAGGAGGTTGTGCCACGGTGAAGCCAAAGAAGACGAGGTGGATGGCGAGGATGAGAGCTATCGTGTTTTTCATCATGTTTTTTGAAGCCATGTTTTGCAAATGCTAAGTAAGCTCTCCCTCTTTATCTCTCTCTCTTTTTTTTTGTTTTCTAAGTTCGGAGAGGAGTGTTGAGTAATTAGTTTGGGAGGTGAGACTTTGTATTTATAGTTTTTTTTTTTTGAAGATTTGGCTGATTTAAGAATTCTATGATTACGTCTAATTAAATGCCAACTGAACTGCTTAGACATTTAGTCCTAGAGAAGAGGCTTGGCAAGGAACATTTGGTCAAGCCCCAAAACAATACATAAGTCTACAAGACACATTTTTCTACGTTTTTTTTTCTTCATAAAAACAAGGAAAAATTAGAAATAAAGGAGCTCTAAAAAAAAGTTTGACCATATACGCTTTTTTTTTAGAATGTCACTTTAAACTAAAATACCCCTACTCTTTATTTTAAGCATTTTTGAATGATTTTACCAAAAAAACATGTAGATATACAAGATTATAGATGATTTGAAAAAAAAAATTGATGATTTAGTTGAAAAAAGTTGATTTTTTTATGGATAAAGTTTCGTCTAAAATTATTAGAATATGTTTTCTAGCGTTCTACGAATATCAGAATTTATATTCTAAACTTTTGTACATGGTTTACGAAAATCAGATTTTGTATTCTAAATTTTTGTACATGTTCTACGACTTTTAGATAAGATACATGTTCTAACAAATTCAGAAGACCGGAATACAATTTCCAAAAATTCTTAGAACATGTATTCTACGCTTTTCTTCATGTTCTAATTTTAGTCAGAAAATCTATTCTACGATTGATAACATGTTCTAAAAACGTTAGAAAACGTATAGTTATTTTAGAATCCGTTTTCTAATATAATATAGATTTCAATTTCTGAAAAGTTTTAGAATTCCTAAATATAGAAAGTGAATCTTTCAAAAAGGAAACTGAATATTTATTAAATATTACGTTTTTATTGTTTAGATTACGATCTGAGGATGGTTAGAATACGTATTCTAATATTTTCAGATAAAAAAAAAAATTAAAAACGAAAATCTAGAGGGTGAAATCGTTTTTAGCCCTAATCGTCAAAGTCTTCTTCTTTCACTTCTTCCTTTTAAGTCCACGTTGAAAGGTTAGACTAATTTGGTAGATTTGTCGTTGTTTTTCCCCGTTCTGTGCCACGTTTTGTCATTTGGTATATACCCATATGCTGATGATGTGTATACAACTGCCACTTGGAGATCATTATATGAGGAAACTATTAATCCAATAGGTGTTCCTGAAGATGAATGGCGCGTCCCAGAGGTTGTTGAATCTGCAAAAGTTTTATCACCTGAAACAAGAAGACAACCTGGTAGACGAAAAAAACGAAGATATGAATCAGCTGAAGACAAGATAAAAGCATCACAACAGTCACAATTATCAAAAAAGCATAAGTGCGGCCGTTGTGGTAAAAAAGGTCATAATCGAGTAACATGTGATGTAGCAATATAAGGTTTATGATCGTGATCTGACTACTAGTTTAAAACTTAAGTATAGATTTCCCTACTTTTATATTTTGTTTTGATAATTGTTTTCTTTATCTTTTTTAAGGATTATGTTGTAACTGCTCTCATTGAACGTTTATAGTTACCACTATATGGATTTTGAACTTCTTTCTCATTTCATGATTATTTTCGCATTTTTTATTTCAGATTTGAATTTCCTAGTACTCTATGTTTGAATTTTTGTTCTCATAATTGGAATCCCTACTACTCTTATGTTCGTGGTTTTGCTTTGAGTTTCGGATTGACTTATCACTAAATTAAGTATATACAACATAAGTTCCAAGACCAATTTAACATAATTTAAAAAGAAACGTAAGAACCATAGTCTCAACCTACCAAGTAGGAATTTTCATTTAGTTTATTGTTTATCGATGAGGGAAGTTGATATATTGTGTTTTTATCGGTTTTGAGTCTTTGTTTTCTTTCCTACATCATATGTTTTATAGAGTCAAAGTGTGTTTTTAGAGTATTTTAATCTTTTATCGAGTCTTTACAGATTTTAGGTTGCTTTGGAGGAAAACGAGCTGTTTTGGGTTATAAACACACTTTTGGAGATGTAGTTTCGTTTAGAAGTAACATACGTTTGGTCTCAGATGGAATACTTCACACCGTTAGATCTTTCTGAATTTTTGGCACAAGCTAGATGAAGATGTTAGCTTGATTTTTCAAGTGGTTTGAAGGAAATCTAACGGTGCATTCAAGAGTTATATCCAAATTAGTGAAGACAGGTCAATCTGGCGAAAGATTGAGGGTATCTGAATTATGTAAATAAAATAGGAAATATTTTTAAAAAAATTTTGTTAATTATATTTTCGAAAATATGAGGGTAAATTTGGGTTTTGATTTTTAAAAAACCTATTTCACCAAAAATTTTATATAAAAGTATATATGGACATTTATCCATTAAAACATCTTTTATTTCTAATTTTCCCTAAAAACAATACAAAAGTCTACAATACAAAATTTCCATAAAAATTTTAATAGATTTGATGGGTTCGATATTAGAAGTTTTAATGAAAAAAGAATGTTGGTATTTATAATGGAAATTTACCGTATACTTGACCAATGACCACTAGTTAGGATGGCAACCCTAATCTAAAACTGTTCCCAGTCTACGAATAAAAAAGGTTTGGCGATGAAATTTAATGAAAAACGTCATCCCAACTTACGTCAACCCTTAACTTACGTCAGCCCAATTTTTTTACTTTTTATTTCCTTCAAATGGAACTGGATTAAAACTATTGAACTTCAACCATTTAGTTGATAATTTTGTAGATTTCTATAATACTAATGAACAACATTACAGAAATCTACAAAATTCTCCGAATCCATGACAACATTGCTGCCACTTCTGCCTCTGTTTTCAAGCAAATTGACAGAAGCCTTAGAGACACTCTCCTTGCTCGCATGCTCATCGCAAAGTAACTATTTTCGTTAACTTATCTGGTAGTATCTAAGGCTTTTTTAAATTTTTTATTGGTCTTAGAAGCTCACTGCCCCAGAGAAATTGTAAAATTACAATGTTCCATTTTGGTATTACAACGTTCCATTTTGTTAATAGAAATTCACATTTTATCAAAAAAAGTACTAATACACACAGAAACAAACACAGTGCATTATAGTTGAGGAATGAGTTGTTTTTTTTAATTAAAAATTCGCCATCCATCACTAAAACTTAAACTAAGTGTTCAAGTATGAAATTAGAGTACAGGCCAGGGCCGGCCCATGGGTAAAGCCCATGAAGCAAGGGCTTTAGGCATCAAATAATTATAAGTAGTTTTAGGGGCATCAATTTTTAAAATGTTACTGTGGTCTAGTGGTTAGATTGAAGTCTTTTGTTGTACAGGTCACGGTTTCGAATCCCATACATGTTAAAACTTGTATTTTTTTTTATAACAGCTTTTGTTAATGGGCCAATTTTTTTTTTGCTTTAGGCACTCAAATAGTTTGGGCCGGCCCTGGTACAGGCCACGAAAAAAAAAAGGTTTATTCCCTACAATACTTCTCCTATAGGACAACGTCCATTCGTAGCTGTAACTCTGATTACAAAACTCTTAGTCTGGAGATTATGCAGTTTCTTACTTAGATTTAATCTAGGAAGCAATCTTTAGGAAGAGTTCAAGTGTATGTTTGATTGATATCTCCAATCAAAAATGCTCCAGAGACAACCTAGTGGAAACAAACATGTCTTTTTTTGCCGTTTCCACTTCTCTCATCAGCAATGTAATTCTCGGTGACTAGCTTTTTGAGCTCATTAATTATGATATAGGAGGCATTTTTCTCTGAAATTCCATCACTTGGTAGATGCTAGCATATGTAGAGAAATTTTGTACGTTCGGCTGTTACAGTGATGTTTGTTTGTGATGGGCATTTATTTCAAGCAAACATGAAGAAGATAGTAATGGAACAGCCAAACATGTGAAACACCATCCAGGTTTCATTTTATTTCAAACATAAGATAAAGACATAATTACTTACTTTAAAAAAACACATAGTTGCACCATGAACCGATATTACGGAACTAATTGTATGCTTATTTTAATGATCCTAATACATATAAGACCCTGTATGTTGTTTACTTATGCAAGGCAGTTGTAACCAGGTTGTATCGGCAAACGGCAGAGACCAAGAAGCCCATTAAGCCTCAAATTGAGGTTGATGGTGATGCCGAGAAGGTTAAGTATATTGAGTCTTAGGGCCTCGCATGCACATACAGACACAAGAGGAGCATTAAGACCAGATAAAATAGAACAACATTGGGCCACGTTGCTGGTGGTGAGGTTGATGAGACCAAGTACGTTGACGCAAATCCCCAAGTCAGACTGGTTAAGAGGACACAAAGGTTTGGGCTGAGGTGAAGCCCAAGAAGACGAGATTGAAGGTGAGGAAGAGAGCCATGATTGTTGTCATGTTCTTTGAAGCCATATTGTGAAAATGCTAAATAAGATTTTGATGATTGTAGTAGTAAATTAAGGAGTGTGAGCAGGGGCGGACCCATGTACACACTTGAGAGGTCAAGTGACCTGGTCAAATTTAGAAACTCTTAAACAATTTTGAGCAAAATTATTAATTGACCTCTGTTAATTTTTCAGTTTGCACGCTTGTCCATTTCTGGTTTCACTTAAAAGGAAAAAAAACATTCAATGTTTATTTCCTTTCTTAACTTTTTAATGACAATTATAACATTAAATACAAATTGAGTATAAAAATCCTACGAAAATATCCTATTTCTGGTTTTATATTCAATTTTATTATGGTATAATTGCTGTAGATGCAATCTCCATCAAATGCCACTATCAACAATTTATAATTAACAAAGTTAATCTATAAATGTGAACAATTTTTTTTAGATATTGAAGGATATGCTAAGTTTTTCTTCTATTTAAACTAATCATTTTCGACATTTTTCATTTTATTATTATAATAGTTTATCTTTGAATTATTTTTTAAAAATGCAATAGTTTTTCTCAAAATTTAGTGCTTATTTTTAAAGGGATTTTTCTGATATTTTATTTATAAAATATATATAACAAAATAAATTATTTACGATAATATTTTTGTACCGGGTAAAAAAAATTTCTGGATCCGCCACTGAGTGTGAGTTATATTAGTCTTGGAGGTGAAGGTATGTATTTAACTATTTATAGTGTTTAGAAGCATTAATTAGTTTGGTATACGTAGAATATTGTGACTATAATAAGAGTTCTCTAACGTAAAGTCATTTTTTGTTTTTGATAAAGTCTAACAAAAAGTTAATTGACAAAATTGCAAGTACGGTTCAAACGTAGAATAGCGAAATCGTGGAAAATGAAATAATTTTGCAGAATGTAATAACTGAAAAAAAAAAACTTGGTTTAATTGAATATCTGCAAAAATTTGGTTGCAGTGTTATAAATTTCTATATTTAGTATACAGCATTATTGGTTAATGAAAAATATGATTCAACTAAAAATTGTTATCAGAAAAAGACTAAACATATAATTAATGAAATACGTAGCCACAGTTGTAGCTTTTGGTCCCTCTAAGTTGCAGTTTCAGTTATTCTAGAGGAGAATGTTTGGCACGTCCATTTAGAGATGCGAACATACATTTCGTGAAGCCCCAAAACTCTATAATAAAGTTGATATCTCATATTAAAACTATATGATATTAATACAATCAATATACATAATCTACTTATTTGTGTTAATGATGTCGTTGTATCACCGATTCACCGTACACGTATAAAGATTGCATAATGCATGTTGGTGTTTGAAATTTTTTTTCGCATTAATGCATCACCAGTAGAATATATGGACTTTTTTTTATCCTAGAAAATAGACGCATTAGTTTAATATTTTTAATCATTTCTACTAACTTAACATTTCTAAGAAAAACTTAACATTTCTAATAGCTTAAGATTGCCAAACTTCTTTATTGCTTTCTTTTTTTCCATTTACCAAAAGTTTCCCCAAATTTTATTAGGGTTTTGGTGTAAATTTAAAGTAAATATACAGAAATGATTTCCTTTTAATGAATACCATATTGATGAAAAAAATAGATGGAATCATATTTATTCACTAAAAATATAGATGGAGAATTGGGTGTATTGGAGTATTTTTGTTGAACCAACCAATCAGCCTATTTAAGACGATTTTCGTTCAATGTTGAATGGTTAATTAGTATAATTTGATTTGGTCTAATTCGGTTGAAATTCTCACTCTAATTGTAAATTATCAGCAAATGAATGTAAAAATGACACCAAAGGTTTTTTTGACCATACAATTGTATTGCCAACAAAGGAATTTTTTTGGTTTAATTCTTGCAAGACCTATCTATATTTTTGCATTGCTAACAAAGGAATTGCATGCCTACGGTTTTATGCAAAGACAAGTTTTAAGACTTTGGTCTCCATTATCTTTTAATTGTACTAGATCTGAAACTTGAGATCGGCTAACAAACGTGTAAACAATACAAAAAGTAATATAGTCATGTAAATGGAATCAAAAGAAGAAGAAAGAATTGGGAGGCCCATAATCAAAAGGCTTGATGATCAAGGTTAATTACGTAGAGTGAAGCCCACCTTTAAGCCTAAAATGAAGAAGTTTGGCAATGGAACATGTGGCACAAAATCATCGTAGTGAACATCTTAAAGTCCTATAAATTACCCACAAACCTCAATTCATTTCAGTTCACCAATATCCGTACAATAGTCCTTCTTTAAGGACATATATTTAACCTTGGAAAAATGAATCCAAAATGTTCAAAAACAACCATAGCCCTCTTCTTTGCATTTACCATCCTCCTCATTGGCGACGCCGAAGCTAATAGCCGGCCCCGCCCTAGACCACCACCTCCACCACCACGAACCCCAAGAACTCCCCCAACTACTCCTCCACGGACACCACCTTTGTCTCCCCCTAGGAATCCACCTACACCGCCTCCGCGTACACCACCAGTTCCTCCTCCAAGGACTCCACCAACGCCTCCCCCGCGTGGCAGATGTCCCAGGAATGGTCTCCCACTACAAATATGTAGCACTATCCTAAGTATTTTCGATGGTTTCCTAGGATTTGGAAGGGCGCAGCCATGTTGTTCTCTCATTCGTAATCTTTCTGATGCTGACGCACTTGCTTGCCTTTGTGAATCAGTGAGAGCACCAAGTGGCAGTCTTCCTCCTAATATCATCAATCTTTATAGGACTTGTGGTCGTAGCATTCCCCCAGGCTTCACTTGCCCATGACCATCTCCTTTCCCCAGAATTAAATAAAAACCTACTTACTATATATATACACTTAAACCATAATTTTCTTTTGTTTCTCTATACTTTATTATAATAATGTAATAAAAATAAATAAAGTTTGTATGGGGTTTTCGATTGTCTTTCTTTTAGTTTTCGAAACACGTTGGAGTTATAAGTATCGCTACGGAAAAACAAAAGTAACAGAAGAACTTGATACATACGTAAATTCAACTCTCAAACAAAATGATTGCATTTATTGATCCCCGGTTCAATAAACCTCAAGTATATTCATTTCTTAGAAAATGAAAGGATCCTCAGTAATCAAAGGTTTCCTTCTAAATTAGATCATGATTGGCGTCGGTTCCTATGAGTAAAACATAGAGTTACATTTGAAACCTCAAGTTATTGATCTATATATATACAAAGACGGGGATGGAGATTTCAGAAGTTTCATTTCGTTACATTACCAGCTGAGCATAGAATTACATTGGAGAATGAATGTGGTAGATCAATTTTAATTATTTAGAAGACATGAAATCCGGGAAAGAAAACTTATATTGAAGAAGCACTGTGAATTTTTTTTAAAATAAAATTTTATTGTGTTCTTTTTAAAATCTATATATATTGAAAAGCCAAGCTAGATATTTGGTGGCGTAAAGGTGAATAATAGAGAGAACCAAATACTTGCCTAAATCGCTAAAGCCTCATTAATTATAAAAGAGTAATGTTAGGTAAAAAATTAAATGATAAACAAGTGTTTTTAATTCCAAGGCATCTCTTGGCTCTATAAATACATACCACATAACCTCATCGAAAGCATCCACACACTTTCATATTCACAAAATAAAGAAAATGGCCTCAAAGAGCTCAACCACCATTTCCCTCATCATCATCCTCCTTATCAGCCTCGCAGAAGCAGACCTCTTAAGCTCGCCTTCACCGACCAACAACTTTGGCACGTGCCCCAGAAACCCATTGCAACTAGGCGTATGTGCCAACGTCCTTGGCCTAGCCAATGTTACAGCTGGAGACCCCAGAGCACGACAGTGTTGCACTGCCATCAATGGCCTCGCTGATGTTCAAGTAGCCGATTGTCTCTGCTTTATCTTCAGGCCACTTCCTTTGGTTTTTGCAATCGATGAAGCTGTTAGAGAAATCTTTTTTGCTTGCAATAGGGTTTTTCCAATCGGTTTCCAGTGCCCACCACCAACAGTAACCACCCCTTAATTCCCCTAATTCAGAGCCCTATCCGGTGTTTACTTGCACTATAAGTTTGCTGGCACCACAAGTATGGGTTATCTATTAATGTTTTACAGTGTTGGTGTGTGTTTCGTTGTTGATTAGGACGTAATTATAAGGACTCTCGATGTTTTATTAAAAAGGACTGTATGTTGTTATGCATATCTATTAATGTCTATGAAGAATAATAATAAATAAAGTATAACACCTTGTGTCTCTTCTTGTCTCCCATATGCTTTGTTAAAAGGAAAAAGAAAATTGCGAATATGATTTAATCGTGTATAGATTTTCCACAATACACTCTTTTATACTTTAATGGTTTATTCAACATAAACATAATCAAAACTAACAAACACTATTAATTAATTATAAATCAATACCTTGTAATAATACCCCAATAAAATATAGGCAGTAGACAAAAATAGCACCAAAAAAGTTTTTTTTCCCAAAGTTAATATTATCCAAAATCTGGATATGTTAAATTAATTATACATAATTTTGCTTTTATTGGTAAGAAAATATAATCACTGATTAGAAAGGGTATGGACATATTTTAATATGAGGTTACGTACTCGTCATTGTCCTGTAATAAGTGATTGTCAGAACTCAGAAGTATGTGATTCCATACTCTGAATTCATTCATTGAAAACTAGCTCTATTTTCCAAAAATAATAGAAGAAACATTTCACATTACAGTTCATAAGTAAATGCCTGTGGTCCAAGATAAAAAAATAATAACGATCTCTATCTTCTATGTAGTGCATGCTCGGTGCTCCGATTTACAGTGCATATTCAATTTTGTGATTATTTACCCTACATACTTGTACGTTTTTGTTCAAACAGGCCTAACTTAGGCTCTAAAAAATATAGCCATTTTTAGGTGTAGCTCTTATAACCCATGGCCAAATGACCAAGTTTGTTGTTCGTGGCTAGATGTCATGGTTTTTTTTATGTAGCAAATCCGTTGCTAAATAACCACGGTCCACGGATTAGCTAAAGAAAAGGTAATGTAGCTAAAGGTCACCAAATTTAAACTGTTTTAATGTGGCCACAAAATTTATATGGCCATTTTGAAGGGTTCTCTATAACTTCTAACTAGAGATAGTTGAATAATTACATACATAATTAATCAATGTAATTAATGAAACTTTTAGGATCCTAGCCCGAGTAGCGAGAAGAAGTTTGGCAAAAAAAATTTATGGTACGTAAGAACAATCTGTCAAAGACCCAAAATCTATACTAAAGTTGACATCTCAAAAATAGAAAGATAAAACATGCGTGCAATATTCAAACAACATACTTGTGTATAGAAAAGGAGAAGATAATAGTTCATATATTTAAGAAATATATTGTTAATATGTTCAATATATAGCCTTACCATAGAGACGTGGTTGCCAAGGTACCTTAGATTGTCTCAATCGGTCATCCCTAAACATCTATATATATGACTATTAATCCATGGAACATTACCCACCCATTTACACCCAAGCTACAAAACCCTTTACTTCAGGCTATTCTTTTACGTGTACATGTATATATTCATCTAAACGACATTGGTAATTTTTTTACCAAACATGTTAAAGTCACTTACTCCAGGTTTTACATGCCCATGACCATTCCTTGCACTTGTAATTACATCAATAAACTGAAACTTACTCACTTTACACTTACACTATAGCTTAAAGCCCTGTAAATTTCTTTTTACTTTCTTTCAAAAAAAAAAAAAAAAAAACCAATGTTGTGTTGGCCCAGTGATAAATCTTCCAGGTGGACATACTGGGTTCGACGCCCGTTAGGAGGGATCTCTTTTCCAAAAGAGATGAATTTAACCTGGTGTGGATCCCGCCTCTGGAAGATGTAGGGCCTTCGGGCTTGAACTTCTAGATTTTCAAAAAAAAAAAAAAAAAAACAATACTAATGTAATATAACATCTAATGGCTTTATGTATATTAGTTATGTCTTTATCATTGTTCTGTTGATCACACTAAACAATTTGAGTTTAGAGATATATCTAGAGAAGAAAGTACAAAAAAAACAATATTTGCGTGAAATTGAATGAAATGAAATGCTACCCAAAATCAAATCTCAAAATTAAACAAAATGATTGCATAATCTAATACTCTTCTTTATATCAGCTTATATATATATATATATATATATATATATATATATATATATATATATATATATTTTAAACAGGTTGAAAGTTCCAGTCCGATATTAAAACTAAATTCTAAGACCAACAACTGCTATACACATTCATTGCTCGCAAGACGCTTACAGTTCTCTTAACAATTATAATTATAAAAGTTTTGAACCAAATAAGTATAGAGAAATAAAGCCGGAGTGGACCGGACTGAAAAAATTATGTGGGTTTTTACGGATTCCAATTTACTTGCTTGCCCCTAACAAGTAAAATAAATAAATGGTCAAATTATGTTTAGCCTAACAAATAGACTTGAAGGCCAAGGTAACTTAGAATGCCCTCACGCCTAACCAATCAATTGAAAGATTTGGAAGATGGATTCATGAAGCATGCCCACTCATTTACTCAAGCAACAAATTACTTAATCGATCACAAATTTTGGATAAAATTGAACGTTCCAAATCTCTAAGTATTGTCCAATTTTGTTTTTCTTTTAAAGATGTATATAGTACTCACTTCCATCTTAAAAGTATCCTACTTTTGGAATGGATAAATAGAAAAAGTGTAGACTTCAATCACATTCAATAGAAAAACGTCATAACTTAGGTGAATGTAATATATTTTTAATTTACTCGATCTTGGATATATCATTGGACCAAAACAAACGCTTAAATAGAACACAAAATAAATAGGATCGGAATATATACCATTTAACAATAAATAAAGAAGAAGAAAAAGACCAACTTTAAAAAACCACAAAAAAAAACTCCAAACCAAGTCGTTCATGGTAGTGAAATTGTTCTACTCGAAACCATCATCTTATTGTAGAGTATGTATATATGTAAAGGGTAGATTAGTCTTTCCTTAATCCCTAGTTCCCTTTCCCTACTAATCTCACTATATATTGTAACATTCTCACCATAATGAATAACACACAATCTCATAAACTTATACCCCGAGGCTTCACCTGCCCTTGACCACTTCTTTGTCCTCTTCTATTTACCTGAATTCACTAAAGCTTACCACTAAAACCATAACTAAAGCCTTGTGCTTTTTTTTTTTTTTATGTTCTACCTATAATAATGTATTAAAACATCAATAAAGTTTATGTTGACATTTACAATATGCCTTATTACTGTTTCCCTAATTACGCTAAACATTGTAGTTTATAGATCTCTAAAGCATAAATAATCTCTAGAACTGAATGAACCAATACTTATATTGTGAAAGCGCCACGAAAGCAAGATTTCTAAAGCTTTTGAAATTTTTTGATTCCAAAGTGCGAAGCAGACTCGTGATAAAGCTTATGTGCTTCCTAGATGCTTACACAGTTTTATTTTCTTCTCTATAACTTTGCTTCAATATTTTTCAGTAATTGGAAATATCCGTACATATGATTAGATTCAGTACAGAACCTGTGGACGTAATAAGCTTTCTTCGCTCATGGTTAAGCACTTTACTTTTTATTAACCTTCACAACTCTTATAAAATATGGGGCAAAAAATTTTTTGTTCTTGATTGTTAGTTCAAGGTTTTTACTTGTAATAAATCACGACACCGTATCATGATGTAAAATGTTGTTAAACCTAAAGAGTACGCGTGCCGGCTTTTATTGGTTGAGTTTTTATGGAAAGCTCTTCTTCATAAGGTAATATATATCTTTCACATGTTCCCGTCTTTTGAAGGTGCTACTGCTACATTAATCGCATTTAGTTTGTCTTCATATAATATGACTCATACACATATTTTTTCTCTCGAACTTTTAAACTATGTCCACATAGTTATATATTATTATATTGATATGTTTTGAATCTGATAATTTATTGCTCGCGGTAATACAGAGTTTTATTGTCTAGTGAGGGCCAGAGGGTCCATGAAGTGATGCACCCCTTGGCTAGAAGTAATTTTGTATGGATCGTTGTTTTCAGTCTAGAATATCATATTTGGGCCTACGCTCGTGGACTCAAATGGTTTAGGGCTGAATTATGGTTACTTATATTTACTCTTGTTCTCTTTTCTACCAATTTTTTTTTTTTTTTCGTCTAAATAATTCATAAAATAGAACCAAAAGAGAAATAAAAAATTGGGATACATGGTGGAATACTATCACCGGCGGGACTCTAACCCCCGGAAAACTAAGCCGGCGGGACTTTAACCCCCAGAAACTAAGCCCAAACAACGGGGAAACAAACATAAAACTAAAACAGAACTAGAAAAGCTTAGAAATTTTACACAGAAAAGCAATAATTTTTTATCCGAACAATCCAAGATCGCAAAAACTATCAGGTTAACAACAAAAGAATAGACCGCAACCTAAAAAGCTTTCGATCAACTTGCCTCACTTGATAATTAAGAGTCTTCATAAGATAAACCTTGGGATACCATGAGAAGCGGAACGGTGAAACCTCAGCCCAACAAGCAGAGACCGTTGAAATCGCAGTGGCCGGAGATGTCAAGTAAACGACTTGAACCGGTAAGAGGAACCCAAACCTGGGCGGATCTCGCCCTAGATCCGATCGTTGGAGCTGTGTGAGGAAACCCAAAAAATTGGGTCGCCTAAACCGATTCACCACCTCACCGACAGTGAGTGGCTTAGAGCCATCGCGGTTTGGGCCATGGAGGGTCAGGTAGAAAAAGAATTGAAACCTGCAACAAAAACAAACCAAGCAAACCCTAGATCTGAAAGGAGAAAAGGAAGGAAACGAAAATTCGCATCCAAATCCGAGATCTCTCCACACACGAAACCATAGCTAGCTAAAAAACAAAAGCTCAAAAGCCGATTCGATGATGTGACCGTGGTGGCTCACACGCGCCGGTCGGAAACGAAGACCTAGTGCGTATTAGGACATAATGTTCCACATCGGAAGTTGGAAGGGATCCTAAGTAATATATAAAGGATATGGGCCACCCCACTCATTGCCAATTGGTTTTGAGTTGGAAGCCCATATTCTAATATGGTATCAGAGCCCGATCCACACATGTCCAACCCGATCCGACCCAAAGATGGTCCAATCATCGACAAGGCCCAAAATTGATGCCGTCGATCTAAGCCCGAACATTCCGAGATTAATG